GTTGTTTGAAATTAGAGGTCTCCTTAGTGAGACTCTGTACCTTCTCTGACAAATGAACCGTTGTAAAGGTAAAACCTTCAGCATTAATAGCTGCGGCGTTGGTGCCAGTGGGCTGTTGTTTGCCTTGTTGTTGAGCTTGGCGCTGACGCCAGGCTTCAGTGGCGAGATGAGGAAAGGTGTACCAGCAGTTATCACCTCCTCCAGTATGGTTGCAGTCGCAGTGCTTGCAGTATGGGGAGGTATTTGTAGGTCTCTGGGTCGCACCCTCAGAACCTCTACCTCGTCCGCGCTGGGCTCGCCCATTGCCTCGATTGCCGCGGCCACGGGTGGCGCTTCTGTTGGCGTCGTTGTTATCACCAAGAGGCTGACTGCGGTTGTTGTCACCCCCAGAAGCTCGGATAGACGTGTTAATGGTCTTGATTGGGTCGTCGCGGCGGGCCTCGTCAATGAGCTCGCTGCACATGCGATCGACGTTCAGAGTAACGTTGCGGCGCAGATCAGCGCGGCGATCGCGTCCGTAGTCCGGGTAGGCGTTGTTGATAGCAAGAATGAACTGATACACTCGAGCTTTGTTAGATAGCTTACAGTCTGCGATGACGTCAAGCTTTGCAAGTCCTGCTTTGAACTTGTCGGTGAAGTTGGCTGTAGAGGGGCAGTCTTGAGCTCTCAGCTTGAAGAAATCTGCCCAGATAGTACATTCTTCAGTGACGCCTTGCTCTCGATAGCGAGCGGTAATAGCTTCGTACTTCTGCTTCACAGTAGGCAGGTTCATGACGTTGTCCCATACTGATCTTGGTACTGTATTGAGTATGGCCAAGGTGAGAGACGATTCTCGGGAGTTGTAAATACGATAGAGCTCATAGTCTTTGTCGTACTGTGTAGTAACTTCTTTGTTGTGGGCTCGTACGCGTTGCTGAGCGTCAAGCAGAAGTTGTGGCGTGTTGAATGCCGATGACGTAGTTGTCGGTTCAGTTTGATAGTGAGGTGTTTCTGGGTATGGAACCACGTAGCTGCCGTCGAGTAGACCTCCGATAGAGTGAATATTTGCGTACAGCTTCAATGCTGCTTCCCAGTGGTAAGCGTTGCTACCATCTGCTTGTAGCTTTGGGATCGCGTCCATCGCTGTGGATGGCGCCATGGTGACTTTATCGTCGTCGCGCGAGTGACTGATGTTGTGTTCAACTAATCGGTTCTGCTGCTGCGGAAATCGCACCTCTAGAGCACTTTATCGTGATAGAGGAGGGCTCATAACCTGATGAAGGTGGAGAAACGTGTGCGAACTTGTTGTATTGGAGCTACGGGAGGAGTGAGAATATCTATGGTGCGCGCACGGAGCAGCTGACTAATCAGTGCCTGGCTAATCAGAGCACGGGAAGCCTGATTCACCGTGAATACTAGTGAAGGCTCTCACCGCGTCTCGACAAAAGTGCCGTAGGGCAATGGACTAATAGACTGGCTTTTTTTTCCTTTGAGACTCAGCCCCCGTGCTAGTGTTGCCTATTGTAACCACGTGACCAGAGTCACATGACATCCTATTGTAGCAGGCACTGCCCGATGGGCAAGTGCACCTACCTCTGAGCCGAGAGCTCTTGTACACATACATTACAACACGACAACAGATAGCAATACAATCGTTGATCCACAGCCTCCACCCGACACTGCTTACGCAGTTACACCTATGGTATAGGATAAGACTTTTCTGAGGACGTTGTGGGTCAACTAACTACACAACATGCACGTATCTTGACTTGGACTGCAGAATATGTAGCTCAAAAATTCTCGGTATTCGTTGGTGACGTTTCGTACTCTCAGTCCGTGTCTGCTGATAGCGGATGTGGGCTGACAAATGGCAATGCGATATGTACGGGTAGAGCGTTCGGCTTATGCTGCAGCACCTACGATTGGTGCGGCGATGACATTCACTTTTGCAGTCCAATTGTATGTTTCTCTGGTGCTCGTACAGTTTCACTGATAAGCACTAAGCATGGAAGCTGTGGGCCAGATGCAGGCGGGCTGACAGCGACAACCTACTCTTCGGACCTTGCCGTAGCGTCTACGGTTACTGTGAAGAAGGATCTAGTTTTTGTGCGCCTGGAAATTATTGAGTCTTAAGACCTTGGTGTGTAATTGATCCTTCACTTACAAGCGATATCAGTTACTTGGGGGCGTGTGCTCTTGACCTAGAGGTCCTTCTACAACGGGTGAATGCGATCTACCTTTCTAGGGCAACAAGACGTGCGCAGACACTCAGTTTGGTCTGTGCTATAGTCAATAGAGATATTGTGGAAGTGGAGACGGGTACTGCAAAGACAGTGATTGCTATTATGGGGCTTGCACGAAGTGGGTGGTTGATGAAGGTTCAATCCGTCTCGGCCGTCGTGCTTACCATGAGAGGTGTCCTGTTTGGCGCCGAGCAAGTGATTCCAGTAACTACCTAGTTGGGTAACGTTCGTTAAATCATGCATCTCGTTAACTGCGGTTAGAGACCTACCTCACATGGGAGCCTGATGGCGCACAAGAAGAACAATGCCATAATGCGCACCCTGACTAACATAATCGTTGCGGATTATCGTATGTGATGTAACGATGAGTCCGATTCACTAATGCTCATGAATGTCGAACGATGCATCGCCCTACATAACGAGATTTTTCGCCCTAGTTAGGCTAGCTTAGGTTACAGTCTGGAGTCTCTAGAATCCACCTACTAGACGTAGTTTAACACATTTGGTGATGAACTAAGGCTGTTCGTGCGGATCTTGGATCTGATCTTGTCAAATTTCTCTAACATGCCCGAATCATGTATGATCCAGACTCTAGCAAAGATCTATATTTCTTCTACTAGGTACAGAGTCTTGCATTACTAGACTTCATGTTCAATCCAACAGAAGGCATCCTAGATGAGGGAGAAAAGGGTGGGTTCTTGGTGATTTACGTAATGGGTAGTTTCACAAGTCATTTCTGCGGACTCGTGTAAGTTGAACAGGTGGTGATTATCGCTGCGAAACAGGAAGTGCTGACTTTTTATCGGCGTAGATATGACCAAAAGAGACATTTGTGCATTATCAGCCCGATCATCCATAACACAGACCAAATCCTTAAACAGAAAGTATGGTATCCACTGGAAGCAGTTCTGGGATTCTGGCTAGGCTAGATTTGCAAGAGGGGGATTGGTACTTTGCCAGAGGACAAGAATCGGAATTATCGGAACGACCGCTTCAAGTTTCAAGCCCTGGGAATTCGTCCCCTACAACAGCGTCATGTTTGAAGATAACATTGACGCGTTCAACGGTCTGGTAGAACCAATCTACAGAAGTTGAAGAGGTTGTACAGGGCGTGGTGGATCAGAATGTGCTTCAAAACATCTACCTTCCACAAAGATTCGCATACGAATTTGTCCAGCGCGCACCACGTCCACGCTTCCGAATGATAGCTGCAGGCCTTGAAGTACACACCACCTCCACCTTCCCTGATCAGCCATTCCACTCCCAGCCCTCCTCTACTCCTTCTAATAACATGGATGCCACAACTAGTCTAGAGCTTTGGATTATTCGACCGCGTAAAAATGGACCCTGGAGGCCTCTACTTATGCTCGACTTCTGAGTTGAGGGCCGAAGATGAATGCTTATTTGCCTTTCCCTTTGCTATCGGGGCTAATGAACATGCCAGGAAGAGCGATGGGAGCAGGTTTGGGTATGATGCAAATGACAAGGATAGTCATGTGGGTCTCTATCGTGCAGGTTACCAGCCTTTGGAGGAGCACCACGAACCAGTCTTGTCAACATATTGAAGAATTGAAGGGGTATGGTGGAGAAGGGGATTTGGTCAATCAATGAGCGCGGGGTGGCAAGTGGAATGGACGTATGGAAGGAGGCAGGTAGCGCGGAGAAATGTGAGGCATATGTGATTCCAAGGGCTGTGGATGGTGTAGAGAGGTAGCACTCCAAGATCCTTCTACTCTGCTCACTCAAGAACAATAATCCTTTCCGTGTACTCATGAAGCTTCTATCTCCTCAACAATGCCACCCACGGTACCTATCCATGGTGTACCAGATTAAACAACCATTAATTGCATGATATTGACTAAAGCTCTACAAACCTTATTCACACATATCTTGTCTCGTTCAACAAACTGAAATCCCATCAAGCATAACTCAATCCATTGTAGCTCTATAAACGCTGAAAAGCACTAAACACAAAGCTCTCTCTTCAACACTCACTCTAGCGACAGCGGCTTACACCGCGTCTACACACACCCTTTACCCGTCCCCACCAATCCCGTACAGTCACCAAACCATCCACCACATGTTCCCCAATCCGCGAAGGCAACGCATCCTCGTCCAACAGCAACCGCCAGTTCGACTGCAAAACCACCTCCTTCATCGATATGCGCTTCTTGTATCGCACCCCATGGTCGTAGCGAAACGACTCAAGATCAGGTGTGCGCGCGCACGTAGGTGTGTATTGGTATGATGATGAACCTTTGGTTAGTGGAGGGCGAGTGAGGCGAGTGCGGCTGTTGGAACGAAGATGCAGTCGACCTGGGATATGTGGACGTTGGAGCTGGGGTGCGGATGCGCTAGACTTGTGATCGAAGTAGTCCTCTTGGTTGTGCTTTCCTTTCAGCCTAGATGCATCATTCACGTGGGTTGGGGTGTTGGGAGACATTTTTCCTGCACAATGTTCCAGGCCAGCTGGTTGGAGTGGTAAGTGCGTGAAGGGCAAGGATCAATTGTCTTACTTGTTTGACTCTTGATTTCAGAAGAATCTACTGCTGGGAAGGAGAATAAGCGAGTATAAATTCTGCATTAACACTGTGAAGGTCCGGTCTGTGCCTTTGTTGCTGCCTATCACAGTAGCCATTCACATGATGATTTGCACAATGTGAAGTCATGCATACTGGTGATGGCTGTCGATTTTTATGATCGACAAACATCTCACTATGTAGCGTTTTCCACGCCTCCCTTTTGCGATCGTCGCATCCTCCATCGCGTTCATAGTTGCTAGTGATCCTCTTGGCCGAGCGTGCCGACATACACCCACTCGTCATCATCATCTACTTGCCAAGGACTCGCAAATATTTTAGCCTTTTCACCGCTTCCTTCGTCTTCCAGGTCCAAATACCATCCCCAGACTGGATGCCATTTCCAGTCCTCCCAGGCTCCCAACTTCTCGGCTGCCGCGTTTGGAAGGATATTGGTACTCGCCTGGCTGACATGTTCCCAGACGTTTCTTGCCTCGTTCAGTTTCCAACGCGAAAGGGAAAGAAATGTACGTTCCGAGGGGATGTATGTGTAGAACTCATGCCACACGGGGTCCCAGACCCATGAGTAGGCTGACAAGGACAGTCGGGGTGTGGTTTCCTGGGCGGACCCTTTAGGCTCGATTAGATTGCGCAGCAGAGCTACAGCATGAGAGAGGTCGGCCATTTCGAGCACTTCAGGTGACAGTGGTGTTGATAACTGCGTTGGTGGACGCCATGCGCCTCTCGACACCAGTTGCCTTTCTATGATTTGGAGTTGTTCATCCAACCTTTCCAGCTGAATCATGGTCTCTTCGTCAGCAGCTGTAAGTAGACTCCGCAACAATCAATTCAATCCGGTCACTCTCCTAGACCCACTTACCTATCTAGGTAGGGCTTAAACTCCTATAGGTAACTACTAGGCTTAAAGCGGTAATCAATCAATCCAATCTGAACCTTCTAGGACCCACTTAATTGATTGTTGCGGACTGTGGCTGTAAGCCGCAATACGGTCAATGTCTCTCTTTCATAGGTCGCTTGTTTCTCATCTACGACGCAATCGAACTTTCTGTTGAGAAGATGTAAGGTTCAGTCCAGGTCGGCGGGGATGAGGCTCGTGGAAGTAAGCCCGAGCAGAAGGACCGACGCGGAATGATGATCTGTCATGTAAATCCCCAGATCATCATGATAATAAGAAGACAGAACAACAGCTCTTAGTGTAGTTCAATCCAATACGTGGTGACCTAACATACCTCTACTCGGTTCCCTATGGTAGTCATACCACCAGAGGAGACCTTGTTCCAATAGGTTATGAGCCCGGTTGCCTAACCCAACGTTATTGGTTTTAAACACCTAACCAAGTCACGAAGGACTTAGATTCGAGAAGGAATCAAAAACACTCACCCAAGTCACGAAGGACTTAGATTCAAGCAGGAATCGGAAAAGAGAAAAAGTCGTGTACAACGCGGTTGACACGCAACCATACTTACACACACCGTCTCCACGCTCGAGAACCGATAACGACTGCACCACCCGCAGAACATCGCCCGCATCGCCCGCATCGCCCGCATCGCCCGCATCGCCCGCATCGCCCGCATCGCCCGAATCAACCGCATCACCCGCACAAGATGGCTGCAGAGAAGGAAGAATGGAAGATCCCCCAGCTCACAGCCGAAAACCACGATACTTGGTTTCGCCGAAACAAGGTCAAGCTTAAGGGGAAGAAAGTCTTCTATGTCTGCGAGAAAAATCTGGTACAGCACTGTCAAATAGCAACAGCTAGTAGACTAACGGAGGCTATGGAAGAGTTGGAAATTGCTGAAACAGACAAGCATACCAAGATCCGCGTCAACATTGAAAAAAGAGACAAGTGTCTGCGAGAAAAATCTGGTACAGCACTGTCAAATAGCATCAGCTAGTAGACAGACGGAGGCTATGGAAGAGTTGGAAATTGCTGAAACAGACAAGCATACCAAGATCCGCGTCAACATTGAAAAAAGAGACAAGTACCTAGAAGATGAAGCCACTGCAATCGATCTCTTGTTTCGGTCGCTTAGCGAGGATGACCAAGCCCTCATTGACGAATACGATACTGCCTTCCAATTCTGGGCCTACCTACAAAAGAAGTACACCCAAACTGACGCCACAACTGCCAACATATACATGACTAGAATTCAAACGTTCACATTTAATCCCGGGAACACGATTGTTGGATCATGGGAGAAGCTAAAGGACTACCGACGTAAACTTGTAGCAGCAGACGCCGACACCAACGGAGCTTACAAGGACTCTGCACTACTACTCGTTCTTATCAGATCACTTCCGAAAGAATTCAAGACTACGATTGACACCTTAAACGCCCAACTTAACCTCACGGTTGAACAGAAACTTAAGTTTCTGGAAGAGAAGGAGGTTCGAGACCAGCAAGACGCCAACGAAAAAGCTCTTCCAGCATTCCGAAAGACGGAGAAGTATGTTCCGCCTTACAGGCGTCGAAATCATAAGAACTCGCCACTATCGTCTGACTCCGAATCTGGTGCCAAATTCACGGTCCAATGCTTCCTTTGTGATGGAGCCCATGGCGTACGAGACTGCCCAAGACGTGAGAGAGCTCGAAAGCTCCTTAAGGAATACGACGCTAAGAAATCATCTAAGCTGCTCGTTAAGACACCTAAGCAAAGGAATTCCCACAAAAGGACTGGCAAAGCATATGGAGCCGAAGAAGTCAATTCAGAGTCAGATGAATTATCTGAGACCTCAGACTCCGAACCCGAGGAAATTGAGACATGCCGTCTCTCAAAAGACATCGTCGGTAAGGCCTCTCCATCTACCTGGGCTGCCGACACTGGCGCATCCTCTCACATGTCTGACCAACCCTCATTATTTAGACGAATGATTAAGATCAAACGAAGAGTCGTTCGGGTTGGAGGGGGAGAATTATATGCGGACTGGAAAGGAGAAGCTCAAGTGGTGTGTAAGGATGGATCGTCGACATGGCTGTCAGAAGTACTGCTTGTACCTAACCTTGGAGTCAATTTGTTATCAGGAAGAAGAATTTGCGCAGCAAGCCTGAAGGGTCGTTTCAATTCACACGCACTATACTTCAAACTAGGAAAGAAGGTTATTATTGAAGCAACTATGGACGACGGCCTCTACGTAGTGTCACACATTGCCGATGGATACCAAGAAACAGCATTTCTAGGCACGGAACTCCATGCACCAGTTAAGAGCGAGCTTAAGGTTAATGAAAAGGAGAGATACTTGCTGTATCACAGACGCTTCGCACACCTAGGACCTGCAAAGATTGCTAAACTCCACGAAGTTACAACTCTCCAGAAGAAGATTCAAGTTCCAGAGAAGATAGAAATCTGCGAAGTGTGTTCTCTGACGAAAATGAAGAACAGCATCCCTAAGCAGCTGAGAGAGCATAAGGCCACGAAGCTAGCCTTAGTACAGTTTGACATTGCAGGACCCTTTCCAACATCTCTGCGAGGAAACAGGTGGTTCCTCCTTATTATTGACAGTTACACGCGAAAAAACTGGGTTATCCCGCTGAAGAAAAAGGGAGACGCACAAAGGGAACTCCAAATCTGGAAGACCTTTGTAGAACATCAAACTGGCGAAAAGGTTAAAGCTGCTGGAACTGACAACGCACCAGAACTTCTACAGCAAGCCGAGGAATGGAGAGTTACACAGGGCGTGGAAATTCAGCCTACAACAATTGCTTCCTCACACCAGAATGGACCAGCTGAGCGAAACATCCAAACCGCTGAAGCTGATATGAGAGCAATGCTGAAAGACGCTGGTTTACCAATTGAGTTTTGGGATGAAGCTGTCGAAGCAGACGCATACCTGCGAAACCGCACAAACACAGGACCCACGATCAATGGAAAGCAAGTCAGTCCTGAAGAGGCATTCACAGGAACGAAACCATCCATTGACCACATCCGTGTATGGGGGAGCAAATGCTATTCTTACATCAACCCCAAAACGATTCCAGCAGACCAACGACATGACAAGCTCGTGGACCGTGGCAGAGTTGGAGTATTCATGGGATATTCTGAGACAACAAACAAGCAGTTCAAGTTCTATTCGCCAGAGCTTGGATACACCTCAAGGACAAGCCGATTATCAGTGGACGAATACACCCCTGGAGGAAAAGTTGAACTACGACTGCGAAACATACCAGCTGGACCACAAGGGACGCAGAATACGATGCCAGACCGAAAACCAAGAGGAAGACCTAGGAAGGATCTGGAATCATCTCCTGCAGAACCAATGGAACCACCTCCTGCCAAATCAATGGAACTATCTCCTGCAGAACCAATAGAACCATCTCCTGTCGAACTAATGGAACCATCTCCTGTCGAACTAATGGAACCATCTCCTGTCGAACCAATGGAACCATCTCCTGCAGAAATAGTGGAGCCAGTTCCCGAGAACTCAATAGAACTGTCGTCGGCAGAGCTAACTCCCGAACCAGTTAAGCGTCACAGAGGAAGACCAGGGAAGCTAACGACTATTCCCCCTACTGCACCATCTGATGAGCGGGTTCCTAATCTTGTGGACGAAGAGGGACCCGAAGAACCGTATACCCAGTCTGTACGAGAAGAGGAGGCTCCACGATACTTCACCAGACAAGCCAAACGAAAGAGGTCTAACGAAGAGGTTGTTGAGGACGAGAGATTTAGCAAGATCGTTAAAGCTATGCTAGCCCAAGCTGGCCTTATAGAAGAGCAAACACGACTATCTGAGAAGGCTTTTGCAGCAACCGAGATCGCAGGAATCCAGATCCCCCAGACACACGAGCAAGCTATCAACGACCCAAAGTATGGAAAGCAATGGAAAGCAGCAATACTTGAAGAGATAATCGCGTTAATGGAGAATCGAACCTGGGAGGAAGTTCCAAAGCCAAAAGACGCGAACATGGTTGATTCAAAGTGGGTTTTTACAGTCAAAACAAATCTCGACGGGACTGTTGAGAGGTTTAAGGCACGCCTTGTGGCAAGAGGTTTTACGCAAGTACACGGAACAGACTACAACGAGACTTTCGCCCCGACAGTTCGCATGGACACCTTACGTCTGTTTATGGCCACTGTCGCAGCGGAAAACCTAGAATGTTTTCACTTTGACATCAAGAATGCTTTCACAGAGTCGCATTTGAAGGAAGAGATCTTTCTTAAGCAACCCCAGGGAGTAGAAGTTAAGAAAGGATACGTCCTTAAAGTTCTCCGCAGCCTATATGGACTCAAACAAGCTGCTCGTGACTGGAACTTGTTAATAAAGAAAGAACTTCTGGCATGGGGATTCGTGCAAAGCCTTGCCGACCCGTGCATGTTTATCCACGAAGAAAAACAACTCCGTATCCTCGTCTACGTTGACGACATTGCTGTTGCCGCAAAAGATCGAGCTCAAATTGATTGGTTCTACAAGAAGCTTTCTGGAAGATTCAACACCAAGAACCTAGGGGAGATTCATAAGATCCTTGGAGTACGAGTTACGCGAGACAGAAAGCGCCGCACAATCTACCTCGATCAAGAACAGTACATACACGCAGTACTTGACAAGTTTGGAATGTCTAGCAAACAACACAGAGACAAGAAGATTCCATCCGCAGATTACACGTCATTTAGGCCAGCCACTAACAACGACACCCGAATCGACATCACTGAATACCAGCAAGTGATAGGGAGCCTTATGTTTGCTATGGTTCTTACACGCCCAGACATTGCATTCACCCTCGGAAAGCTAAGCCAATACATGAGCGATCCAGCAGAACATCATGGCCATGCGTTGAAGAACCTGCTACGATATCTAAGGTCGACAGTAACAATGAAGCTACGCTACGGACCAGGGGGAGTACACTCGCAATTTGTCATCTACTCTGATGCTGACTGGGCAAGCGACATGGTAGACCGAAAGAGCGTTTCAGGGAGCACTGCAATGTTCTACGGAGGTCCAATATCATGGTCTAGCAAGAAGCAACGGTCTGTTGCAACGTCAAGCTGCGAATCTGAATACATCGCACTATCAACATGCTGTAAGCAAGGCCAGTGGATTGCTCAAATGTTCAGAGATCTTGGGTTCCCAAAGTACATTGGAAAAGACACCAACAAGGTCCAGATGCTAGGAGATAACCAGGGTGCCATTGCACTTACAAAGAACCCTCACCTTCACGAAAGATCAAAGCACATCGACGTCTGTTATCATTTTATCAGAGACCTAGCAGAACAAGGTAAACTCGACGTGGCCTACGTGCCAACTGTAGATATGGTGGCTGATGGAATGACAAAGCCGTTGCAGCGAGTCGCATTCGAGAAATTCAAGAACCAATTAGGAGTTGTCCTTAGACCGGACCTGCCCTGAGGGGGAGTGTTGAGAAGATGTAAGGTTCAGTCCAGGTCGGCGGGGATGAGGCTCGTGGAAGTAAGCCCGAGCAGAAGGACCGACGCGGAATGATGATCTGTCATGTAAATCCCCAGATCATCATGATAATAAGAAGACAGAACAACAGCTCTTAGTGTAGTTCAATCCAATACGTGGTGACCTAACATACCTCTACTCGGTTCCCTATGGTAGTCATACCACCAGAGGAGACCTTGTTCCAATACTTTCCATCTTTTGCATCTTTCATGAACCTTTGTATCTTGGCTTGAAGTGTCACGACCACCTCTGCAAGATCTGGGGGTGTGTCTGCATTCGTCATTGCGGCGATTGGAGGCTGTCGGTCCGTCGCCGTAGTTGAGTAATTTCAAGGCTGATGATTGATGGGCGTGATAAGAATTGATAAAGCCTTCGGTACACAGTTGCCACCTAGAGATGGTGGGTTCTGCCAGGTAGGTATCCATAAATCCGATACATCCGAGGTTTAGTCATCAACGCGACCGACACCATCCGCAGCCGCGCAACATAGTACAGTCGATCCGAGGCACATAAAACTACCGCAGCCAGAAGACTTCAAAAGATTACATCGACACGGCAAATTCGCGATCGAAGCGAAACTTTAGCCATCCACCCAGAACACAGAGTACATTTTCCTGGCATGAAATCAATGTAATCAGTCCTCTAGCAAAACAAGAGATCACCCAAACATACATCCAAGATCTAAACACAGACTAGAAACTCCTAACCACCCTAACATGAAACTGATCACATATATCGCCGTTCGTCTTTTAGTTCAACCGAATGAACCATTCAACTCACCTTTTGACTCAATTATCTCGGCTTGAACCTTCGAATTTTTCCGTCGTCACAACCACGGAAATCTCATTGTCAGCGCATGGCATCCCACTCATTTCTCCAGTCGTGTTTCGATCCATTCAGTAAGCACTAGCATTACACATGCCTGCCTGCCACACACACCCATCCAAGCTATAAGCGGCTCATCCTTACAACCAACGACCTCTCACACATTCACCACCTACCAAAAAAGGACAAAAGGTTCCACCAGCGGCAGCAAAAAACAAAGAAAAGCGAACCAGCGTAAACGCAGCTCCAAGTTTAATTGTAAAGATACACAAGAACGGTAATCCAATCCAATCCAATCCCCGGGGTATCCTCCACACATATCCCTCCTCCTCCTCCTCCTCCTCCTCCTCCCCACATATACATCCCATCCACTCCCCCTCCCCCTCCCTTCCCCCACCAACAAACATCTACAACAACATTGCAGCAACACCAGCAACACCAGCAATCGCGCCACCAACCCTCAAACTCCCCGCCGCACCCGTGAACTGAGGTAGACCAGGCCCCGTAGGCGCACCCGTACCAATCGTACCAATTGTGCCGACTGTAGAAGCCGCGGGCACGAGTGGGGTAGTGGCGGGGGTGGTGGTGGGGTAGTATGCTGACATGCTGGTTGGTGCGGCGGGGGTGTGTGGGGTGGTTCCGGTTCTGTTGGTTTGTTAGTTAGAAGTTGGGGAGGGGGGGAGGGGGGAGACATACACAGTGACGGTGACGGTGACGGGGACAGCGCAGGAGGTGTCGGCTGCGGCGAGGGCGAGGGGGGATTGAGCGGCGACTGCTGCGATGAGGGTGGCGGTGATGATTGAGAAACGCATTTTGTTTGTGTGATGTGTTTGTGGTGTTTGTTTGTTTAGAAAGGACGCCGGTGGTGGGTATATGTGTAGTAGAAGCGTAGCGTTTGTTGATTGATAGAAAAGTAAGAAAAGCTGGTTTAAGGAATGTATCTCTCTTTGACAAAAAAAAAGAGTGGCTGACAAACAGTAACTTGGAATGTACTATTGATTATACGATCGCGGGAAGGATGAAAAGCAAAAGGGAAACTACATGGCAGAGGCAGAGAAGAGTCTTATACATCTCGCACATTAATCATCTGACAGCGGGGCGATGAGACACGCCACGCCAGCCATCCCAGCCTTGTTCCCATTGTTCATTCAAATCTCCCTTGAAGTCGGGGATATAGATTGGCTACAAGACCCTTGCAGAGCGTGTGTTGATGTCGATAAGCGGAGATTAAGATCCTGATCTGCCGTTTGCTTGTAGCGAGTGGATGCGCGTTGCAACCTCAGGAAACACAAGGATGCAAGTGGGTATGACTGCGCGTCGTGCATCACAAACTTCCCACTCATGCGCATGATCAGAATCTTGGCCTGTGGCTGCTGTTTCCTGCGCAAAAGTCTTGAATGCAATGCACACCACACCTGTCAGATCGATCAATGCAAGTCCATCATGCGCCACCGTTTTGAAACACAAGGCGAGAACAAATGAAAAGAGCGCGGCATGTATATTACCGTCATTTTGATAGGGCTTGCATCTCAGGTCCTTCTTAATGTGAGACGTCGGTAGCCGCCTGCGTTCCCCTGGCGCTAGGCTCGGTTTTGACTAGGTTGTTTCTTCGAATATCAACGTTGGATTGCTGGTGGTGGGTGGCGCAGAACATACCCGCTGGCAGGGAAGGCTGAAACGTCTTGCCTGTCGATCTGCATTACGTACCGACCTATGACAACATGCCATGCATGATTTTGCAGGGCGGGGCTGGGATGTGGTGGTAAGACGTCATACTGGAGAAGGTGAGGGCAACACAGACGGAGAGTAGGTTTTCGACATGATGGAAGCTTCAATCTAAGTAGTGACCTGTGACGATCAGAAACATGGGGTATTGCTCTACAACCTATGATGAGCCGTCATCTACGGTGACCACTATGGAATAAACACCTCCCAAACGCCAGAAATGCAAACTCCCTCAGTCCTTATTTCACCTTGCCCATGATAGGATCGGGAGGCGAATCTTCGGCAATGGGTTCCGCCGCCTTGGCTTTAACTGCGTTCAACATGGCCCTGTCGAAGTCATCTCTCGTTCGCAGTACGGCCTCCACCCATGTGATGGTAACATCGCGGTACGCGGTCTTGAATTCCACGTATGCGAACTGCACCTGCGACTTGTCGCATTCAAGAAGTTTGAGGAACTCTTGGACAGCGCGCCATCGCTGGATGATGTCTGCACCCTGATCACCGTAGCCTCTAAAAAACTCAAAAGCAGTGAGGAGATCATCCTTCATCTTTGCTGCAAACTGGTCCGTCCGCTTGAACTTTGCGCCTTTGTTGCGCACGGCGCCGAGGTACTGGACGAGTAGCTCATCGGCCAGAGAGTCTATCAGCAAGTCGCGCAGCGAGCGGTGGACCTGGTCTTCGTAGTCGGACAGATAGTCTCTAAAGGTGATGATGATGGAGGCCATGTCGGTTCTACTGTACCATTCCGGTGTAAAGAACTTTGACAAAATGGGCTTGAAGTCGGTTAGGAAAATGAGCTCGCAGAAGGTTTGGATGCAATGCGATGAGATATCAATGTAGCCGTTCTTCACCTCGTCAATGTTCTTGGCTAGCTTGTCAATCATATAGTCCTGCGACACAATGGGCGTGACTTCGCGTTCGAAGACGCTGAGGAAGGAGGCTCGACCGCTGCCGTCAACGTCATCGTCTATGCAGATGATTTGGTCGTTTGCAATTGCGACTAGCCACTCCTGGAAGACGGCTACGCTGTCGCCATCCATGGTGGGATTCAGGCCGGCGTATTTCGCCTTTTCCTCGTCAATGAGCTGTGTCCAGATGCGTTGTCGGGATATGAGAGCGCGGAACATGGCGTCTACCACGCCGTCGGCCACATCTGGACGCTGGCTGCTGGCTGCAACGCCGATGTTCTGGCTGAACAGAGTCCAGACGTCGCCCAGCGATCTGGTCTGAAAGATGCCGTCCGGGTTGATTTCGTATGCGCCTCTGTCTTGATCAAGGAAACTTTTCCTGTCCTGATTGTTGATGCGCTCCATGTATTGGTCCACGGCTTGTATGATGACGGAGCGGTATGTACGGATCAACTCAGCACTACGGTTGTCGATGACGTGTGGCTGTAGCTGCTCTTCTGAAAAGCCGAGCTTCTGCATTTTGATGTAGTACTTATCTACCCAGTTGATGACTGCCAGAAGATATTGAGGGCCCAAGCCCTCGTCATCAGCGAAACTCATGAGGAAGTCATGCATTTGTTTATGGTAGATGTTGGTATACGTCTCGAATATTTTCCACTTCTTGGGCATAAGGTTGACCATGCCCAGCTTCACTGTGTTGAGGTTGTTGAAGTACCATTTGAAGTACTTTTCAACTTTCTCAGGGTCCTCGGTGAACTTTTCTCGCACGTCGTCCATGAGTGCCTTGCACACGTACTCGATGGATGTAATGAACTTTTCCTTGTATCCGCGAAGTTCCTTGGGCCCTTGGGTGATGGACTTGAAGCGTGAGGCCAGGTCTCCAAACTCTCTCTGGGCATCCTGTAGGGCCTTGATCTTCTTGTCCGTCTTCTCCTCCTCCTCGACGATAACGGCCAGGCGAACGACCATGCCATCGTTGCCCGACTGCACCAATTCGATCAAGTTGATGCATGCCTCCCCGATATGTCTGTCGAACCATTCGACAACATCGTCCAAGCGGGCGAAGAGGTCCTGGACGGTAACTCCGCTTTCTAGGGTGAGGTTGTCGATAAGCTCGGTGGAGCTGTCGCTGTTCTTGATCTGGCCCATGGCCTCGTCGCGGATGTCACGTAGCTGGGTGAGGCCGTAGTGGACCTGCAGTAGGTTGGGCTGGTTGGCAGGATCTTGGGCATCCTCGCCCAGCAGCATCTCCAACTGCTCCAGCCGCTGCTCAAACGTCTCAATGTCATTGCGCATCTTCTCGACCGACTCAAAGTTCTTGTGTGTCTGGGCTACCAGATTGATGTGCGGGAAGTCCTGAATCATATTCTGGGCCTCGGCGCATAGCTTGTCTATCTTCATCATCTCTTCCTTTATCAGATTGACAGTCCGTTGCCCCTCGGTGATGCTGCTCATGCCCGACTGGGTCAGCTCGAGCTGCTCCTTGAGTCCATGGCGCAGTTGGCCATCTACAGCCGCCTTCTTCCGTGTGAATTCGGCCTTTAGGGCGGGGATCTTGTCAAGGTCCTCTGGGTGTCGCAGGAGTTCGGCCAGCTTCACCGTCGCGGACTCGACATCGGCCATGGTCGCGCAGGTGCACGTCAAGTGCAGGCGCGAGTCAATTAGGCAAGTGCGCGCCCATGATAGGGTGGGTATCGCGGGTCAGAGGGCGTCAGGTGATGTGTGGGTGTGTACGTGAATGTTGTGTCGTGTGTCGAGAGTGAATGGACAGTTTACATCCGGTGGCATGTACCTGGGTACCTACGTTAGCTGGGGGTCGAGGCTTAGCGCGTCGGAGGTGCACTGCGGCCAAAAGTTCCCCGCCGCCACTTTCCTGCACAAGTCAAAGACAAGCCCGTTGATTGATTCTTCTTCTCACGCACACGCACACGCACACGCACAAAACTAACACCATGGCCGACGAAGAAGTGAACCTGTACGACGAAATCGAAATCGAAGACTGTTTCTATGACGAGGCGCTCCAAATCTACCACCACCCATGTCCCTGCGGTGACCGTTTCGAGATATCCATTTTCGACATGCGCGACGGCGAGGATATTGCGCGCTGCCCTAGCTGCAGTCTGATGATTCGCATCATATTCGACCCGGTATGCCGACAGTGTGGATTGGTACAGACACGGACTACTAACACTCTGCAGTCGGACCTCCCGCCTGAAAAGGACGATGCGCCGCAAACGGTTGCTATTACTGCCTAGACTCGTATACCATTTACTTTTGCACTGCGGCGTTGCATATCACAGGCGTTGGAAGAGACTGTCGGCTGAATTATACCATTATTTTCGTGACTAGCCTTCGTGACTAGCATGAGTCTGAGTGCATCCTTGAAGTGGACTACCATGTGCCTACTCTATCCTGCTGGGTAGAGTCTGCGTATCAGCGCGGAACCTCGTCGTCGACACTGACGTCAACGCCCAGCTCTTTCCTGATGATTTCCGTCAGGGAGCTTCCATCTCTCATGTATACCCAGTCTCCAACGCCACCACCTTCCTTGAAGTCCATACCCTCCTGTGCGACGACCCAATCGAACCGCTTAGGTCCGGATATCGGGGAGCTGAGCCAGATTTGCTTGTTCGGGGGCTGCTTGTTGAGGACGAAGGTGTTCTGTTGCGATGTGACTTCGAGGACGCCGGCCTAGTCCATGTTAGCAATGGCAGCCAGCATGTATGTAGCAAAGAAGAAATGCATACACTGTAGTCGACTTCAATTCCCGGGTCCTTTTCCTGCGCCTCTTCTAACCTCTGCAATAGCTCGCCCAGGTAGTGGTCTGCACGCTCGTGGAACTCTTCTATTGAGAGTTCTGTAGGCTTGCCAGGTTCATCATGGGCTTCACTCTCCTTTGGCTTTGGGTTTTCTGCATCAGGCATGATACTTCGCATGCCTGTTGATGCGTGTAGGCTTCGAGCGGGCATGGCATGGCGGACAGCTGGACCTCTGCTAGCAATGACGCAATTGGCAGGCGATTGAGTGCGAAAGGGACTGCGCATAGCGCGACGGACGGCAACGCCGGCGAAACGGGTAGCTGGCCTCATATTGAGATATATGTGATGGAGATGGGTAATTGCGACTTTGTTGATGGTGAAGGTCGTTGCGGGAGCATGGCAATGGAGAGCTTCGAGCATGGGCCCCGGCGCGTCTCCCCGCATCCTTCATTCGGGGCCAGTCAATGGGATAATATTACGAAGTCAGCATCACCACCACAACATCACCCCTACAACACACCATGATCAACGCCGTACTAGTCTTCAACAACGCAGGCCAGCCGCGCCTGACAAAGTTTTACACGCAGCTGGAAACAAGCGTCCAGCAACGGCTCATCTCGGAGATCTTCACTCTCGTCGCAAACCGTCCAAACTCAGCATGCAACTTCCTACCGTATGCATGACGACTTCCTCCTTCTATAGCATATCTGATCTTGGCCAGTCTACCGCCGCTCCTAGCTAGTAGCTCCAAATCCTCGACTCCCACAACGCCTCACAACGACACGCCCTCGCTGGTGACTTACCGCCATTACGCAACCCTCTACTTCATCGTCATTTCCACCTCGACAGAATCGCCCCTCGCCCTGCTCGACTTGATCCAGGTCTTTGTCCAGGCCCTTGACGGCTTTTTCGAAAACGTATGCGAACTAGATCTAATCTTCAACTTTGAGACGTTGCACGCCACGTTGGGCGAGATGATTGTGGGCGGCGTCGTCGTAGAGACACAGCTCGACAAAGTCATTCAGGCAGTCAAGGCGCAGGGCAGAGTAGCGAAGAGGCCAGTTAATGAGGGGAAGAACCTAGGCAGCGGCAGCGGTGGCGGTGTCATGGGGGGGCTTACCTTTGCTGGCCTGGGACGAGGAGATGGCATCTGGACCGGACGATGAAGGTTAAACATCCGAGCACAAAATTGGCAATGCCGAGCGAACGAGCCCTATAAACGCCGCAGCAAGTAAGCTTGCTCACCAAACTGCGTACCAGTACCCACTGTCAGTTCGGCCGCTTACGATAAGCTACCAACATGGCAGTATCGGTGCTTCTCATCTAAGCCAACTCGGCCCATCGTCGCGCAAATTACTGTCGACTTATGCGCTTTGACCGTTACCATATACCCTCTAGCATTCCATTTCAGCCTCACCGCCTCCGCAAAACTCATGACGAGCCAGTCTCCTTTTCTACTCATCCTGTATTGGTGCTTTCTGTCTATCGGAGCACTTTGAAGAGTTTCTCCGGTCGGCTAAAGACATGGTAAAGGTCTAGGGTCTGGAGAAGACTGAAACAACCTCGCGCGCTACGACTGCCGAGCTAGGATCAAAACAAACAAGCTTTTAATTTACTCTGATGCCACCCGCTAAGCTATTTCTTGAAAAGACTCGGCGATGAATTGCAATCAGGTCCTTTCATTTACGTGTGGAGCCGACAATGTGGGGTAGCAACACTTTAATCGAGAAACGTGTGTTGGGTACCCGCTCAAGCTGATTGCTGGATACTCTCTCTCGGCCAACTTGCTCGGAAATACTTCGACAATGCACAACCTCCTCTGATCCGCCCCATGCATGCCGGCTGATCATGATGCTTATAAGAGGGTGACATGCCCTCGCTCATTTAAGCTCTTTTACCATTGTCACCAACCTCACTAGTCGACAACATGCGTCTCCAAACTCTCATCACGAGCTTCCTGTCCGTCGCTTCAGCCGCCACTCTGGGCAAGCGCGCCGTCACCCCTGGCACCCTCTCAACAGTCACCGACTTCACTGCCCCCACAAAGGCAACATTCCAAATCTATGTGCCCAAGAAATTAGCTGCCTCACCTGGAGTCATCGCTGCCGTTCACTACTGCGGTGGCACTGGGCAAGCATACTACACGGGGAGCCCATACAAGACATTGGCTGAACAGTACGGCTTCATCGTCATCTACCCAACTGCGCCCCAGTCTTGCTGGGATGTAAGCAGCAAGAAGTCGCTCACCCACGAAGGTGGTGGCGACTCAAACTCCATTGCCAACATGGTCAAGTGGACAATCAAGAACTACAAGGCCGATACTTCCAAGATCTTCGTCACCGGTTCCAGCAGTGGTGCCATGATGACCGTACGCTTACCCACTTGTCCATTGTTTTAGCTCTGCATGAATACTGACCATAATCTAGAACGTCCTCGCAGCCACCTACCCCGACCTTTTCAAGGCCGGTATCGTCTACTCGGGTGTTGCAGCCGGTTGTTTCGTGTCGTCCTCGGGAGGCGTTGCCGCCTGGAACAGCACATGTGCACAGGGTACCTCTACCGCCACCCCCCAGGCCTGGGCGCAAGTCGTGAAGAACATGTACCCTGGCTTCTCCGGAACGCGCACCAGGATGCAAGTCTACCACGGCGGCGTCGACACGACGCTCCGTCCCCAGAACTACCAGGAGACGATGAAGGAGTGGGCTGGCGTCTTCGGCTATGACTACAACAAGCCGCAGAGCACTCAGACTAACACGCCGCAAGCCGGCTACACCAAGACTGTCTGGGGTCCTAGTGTGCAGGGCATTTTTGCGGCGAATGTTGGACATTCTGTTAATATTCGCGGGGACGACGATATGAAGTTCTTTGGTTTTGCGTGAGTGTGTGTGTGTGTGGTGCGGGGTGGTAGGCGTTGTGTGGGCTTGTCAGTATGCGATGAACAAGTCAATTTCAGGTGTAAATATTTGGACGGACGCTGAATCATGTGATCAGAGGCTTCATGAGTGCTTTTCATGTAAATATTATCGCGCATAGTTCTATGCATATTAAATTACGAATCCAGCTCTCGTCACTGTCATTACTTTACGAATATTAAATGCACATGACATATTCCCAATCAATTTCTAATCTTGTTGAGAATATCTGGGTTCAGTCCAGGGTAGAAGGTGCTTGAGCGTCACATGATATGCTGGTGCGGCAGGCACTGCCCGGTGGGCAATAGCACCCACCACAACAGCAAAAGTCTGGGACACTCAACACGATAGTCAATACAATACGTTGCAGCCACCCCGCCTTGTCCCTCTCACTCGGTTATCCACAGTAGTCATACTACTAGAGGGACCTTGTTCCAATAAATCTCATCATATACATTCATTTATTGTACTTACACAACACCTTCTACCATCTAAAGCCTCACTTCCACTACTTACCTACTCACCTAATGTCACTTACTGCGAAGCGAGACACAACGAAGCGAGACAGATTATAGGTACTTCGAACTCAAGTTACATTCACAATACAGCAACGTCGACTTCTTAACTTTGCTTGCAGCAATAATATGAAAGAGCTTCTCTAGAATGTCCCTAGTGATTTCGGAGAAAAATTTACTAGCCCTACGGTATTCTTTACAGCTCATCAACAAAGGACATCCTTTTTGGTTGTTGAAGGCCCCTCAGTCTCCAGTACCACACTGTACCCAATTGCAGCTCCAAATCCGATAGATATGTCTAGTGTTATGTACTCAATCTAGCTATAGCGTCAACCAGCTCTGATTACCCCTGTGGCTGCCGCAGAAAGTAGGATTTTGCGACGTTGCCACCCTAGCCGATACATGGAACTTTAGCGAGCAGGAGAAACCAAGACCCGCATTGGGCGATAAGCTGGTATTGAATATTACGTAATGATCTTGGCAGTAGATTAACGTAAGAAAAGGTGGCTGTGCTTTCTAGCCTCTCTTGTCACGATACTCCAGCCTCAGGGACCCCTTCGGAGACCCATCGGCCCGAGCCAGCCACAGTCACGTACCATATTTGTATATCGCATCTCACTGAATCCTTGATTGCTCCTCAAGGATTCGTCTCAATACAAGCCGATACCTATATCTCAGTGCCTGTTCCAATACTCCTTACATCTCTAGCATGATGTTTCACTGTTTGATAACGCCAAGTGCTATCTACTAAGGACTAACTAGTGAGAATTTTATAGCCAATCAGAGTCATGACAGTGACATCACGCTCAGACACAAAGTGGTTTTGGTCACGTCGGTAATTTTCGAAGTTCTTGTAAGGGGCTACGCTCAGGGAGCAATCGCACAGGTATACTGGAGTTGTATTCGATGGGGAAGAGAACTACAAGCTATCTCGTGCTAAAGATTATTCGGAGAGCGGCTCGGAACAACCTTCTGCCTATGGACTGTGCGGATGGTCTAAGCGTCGTTCGGACCGAGATATCATCGAGGATTCACCAACTAGGCTCTAGCCCATCACAGTTCTCTAGCAGAGCCTCATTAGTCTCGATAATAAGATAGATTATCAAGATGGACCTCTAAAACTTAAGCTGATGCTAAATTCTTCGTCCTAGACGAAGCGGATATCAGAGCTCCTGAGTTAGTCGGGGAAGGCGACGCGCCAAGCTTGCTGAGCTGGCTTGTGATGTGGGTCGGAAGCTGAGATCCATGCCAAGGCCTTGGCTAATAAACATAAAGAGCCGTCTTCCTGCTCATCGACGACCTGACATACTTCCCGACTCCACACATTTCATCTCAAGATGGCCGCTAGCCACCCTGAAGATGCACCCTCCTTGCCATACCATGAGCCTGGGATAGTGACCATTCTTATCCAGACTTCATTTCTGCTGCTGCTTAACGTCATTAATGCCGCACTTGATCGACTTCTTTACTGCGGTCTTTTAGGACAGGTTTTAGTCGGCATTGCCTGGGGTACGCCTGGCGCAAAATGGCTGTCTACTAATATGGAAGAAACGATTGTGCAATTGGGATATCTTGGCCTAATACTGCTTGTTTATGAAGGTTAGTATACCACTATTTTTCGTCGTTAATCGTTCATAGTCTGTTTTATGACGTATGTGGGACGTAGATGACGTCCTAAGTAAAATCGCACATTCATCAGAGTCGAAGGAGATATCCTTAATACTAACACTATAAACAGGAGGCTTACACCAGACTCCGCAACAATCAATCGGATCGGCATGATTGATTCCTATCTAGGTTAAAGGCTGCCTAATGAAGTAATTCTTTAACCTATATAGGAATCAATCATGTCAATCGATTGATTGTTGCGGAGTCTGGCTTACACACTTCATTCCAATCTCTGCGAGCCAATCTGCTCCTCTCTTCTGGTGTCGCCTTTACAGGAATCGCTATTCCTGTGGGGCTTTCATACACTCTCCAAGGGTTACTCAATGCCACGCCAGTGCAGGCATTTGCTGCAGGAGCTGCGCTATGCTCAACGAGTCTTGGTACTACCTTCACGGTACTTGGATCGAGTGGTCTATCATCCTCCCGACTAGGTGTTGTCTTAACAAGTGCAGCCATGATGGACGACGTCGTGGGACTGGTCATGGTCCAGGTAATCTCCAACCTTGGAGGCGAAAGTTTCAATTGGGTTGTCATTGGACGACCAATTCTTGTCTCTATTGCATTTGCTATTTTTGTACCTGTGTTATGTCTCCTCGCTCTAAAGCCGACTACATTACTTCTTAATCGCTATCGAGAAGCTCATCCTATGGCTTGGTTCGATAACTTTTTGTGTAAAGCTCAAACAGCTTTCGTACTCCACACTGCACTCTTAGTTGGCCTAGTCGCCGGTGCGACATACGCTGGGACGTCGAATCTCTTCGCTGCCTACATCGCTGGAGCTACCATTAGTTGGTGGGATTCCGAACTGCCCCATCCCAACATTGACAGGACCATCTCCAGTGGGCCAGTCGTACATCGCAAGAAGAAAACCCCGCCTGCTGGAACTTCCGAGATTTCGTCAAATAAACCGTCTGGCTCCGGCGACATGCAAAACAGGCGTGCTACATCTAGCACTGAAACTACAGTAGAAGCCAGCGATGCTTCGAGGACATCCAATGAGGACCAAGACACGTCTGGACGCGCCATCTACCAACGATACTATCACCACGCTGTCGCAAAGATCTTACAACCGCTGTTCTTTGCATCTGTTGGCTTCTCTATCCCGATTACCCGCATGTTCAGAGGAGCTATTGTATGGAAAGGCATAGTATACACTATGCTAATGGTCCTTGCAAAACTTGTTTGCGGGCTCTGGCTCGTCAGATTTTCAATCGGCTCCGGCAACGGTAAGCTCAACCGTGTGATGAAGAGTTTGAAGCTGCCTTCTATTCCACATTTTTGGGGCCATAGTAGTCCGGGACCAGCTCAAACACGCCCGGGCAACTCGACAGAGATGTCCTCTTCGAATACGTCGAATCACGAAACGCGTAGTTGTCCTAACCCGCCAAAACCTTTTTCTCTTCACCCTCCGCTTATTCTTGCACTTGCGATGTGCGCTCGAGGAGAGATAGGTTTTCTAATTTCTGGTGTGGCCGAGTCTAACGGAATATTTCTTTCGGCAAATGACGCTTCACCAGACTCATCGGATATTTTCCTGGTGGTAACATGGGCCATTGTTCTATGTACTATTATCGGTCCACTAGGCGTTGGTCTATCGGTCCGAAGGGTAAAAACTCTTCAGAAGAGGAGGGATATACAGCAAGAAGGCACTGGAAAAGATGTACTTGGCGTTTGGGGTGTAGAGTAAGGATTGATAGGACATAGGTTAATTTCATTCAGTAGCTATATATGCGACTCGGCGCATGTGCACTTGCAGGCCAACGGACCAACGCTATGCTTGATTAGCTCGTTAGGGGACCTCGTCGCCGCCTCCCGTGTGGCGCAAACTGGGCTGCAACTGCACAGGAGGGCAACCCGATTTCGCTGAGCTCTTTAAGGTCAGTCGTCCTAGCATCGAAGTTCATGGTTGCTCATAGCTATGGCAAATAAGCTGTATTTATCAGCTAGAATCGATTCTATTAAACACAAAACCCGCGTCAAACTCTCCTATTATGCAGCATGGGCGCCTCGGGAGCTCTCCATGATGACGCAACCTGACTTTCAACCTGGACTTCACTCTGTCTATCACTCTGTCTCGCCACCTTAGCCTGAGGCTCTCCTCCAGCTGTACCCTTACGCTTTCTTCTACGTTTCCTGGTAGATCTAGCTGCGGTGGCCGCCGCCTGCTCAGCACGCTTCGCTCGCGCTACTTCCAGTTCGTTCCAACCTATAACCGCTCCCTCACCCTTTTCCACCCTCCTTCCAAGCATATGTTCTTTGGCTGATCGTCGAACCTTGGACTCGTCGTTGATCTTCATCAGGAACTGGATCTGGTCCCGCTGAAGGATACCCTTAGAGAATGCCAAATGAGCAGCTTTAGACATCTTCTGGATATTCTTTTCGAGACTAGCTACGGTCGTCTGTTCAAGACATTAGGTGGCTTGCTTAATTATGATATTCTGTAGCGATGCTATCCCCTGCGTTGTTACTGGTGTCATAGGTGTTAGAGGTGATTGAACAGTGTCTTGAGAGTTTGACTCGACCTCTGCCTCGTTCGTGTCGATAAGAGTCAGTTCTGGAGGAGGCTTCGGCATGCTTCGAAGCACTCTGTCCGGGTTGAACGGAAACAATCTATACGCAGAGAACCCAGATCTGATGTTCCTCTGCGTGAAGGCCTTGCTTCTAGCACGGCTATAAAGTGAGGTGAAATGCTCTTTACCTATCGCATTAACACCGCCTTACTCTAGGCGCTCAACCTCATCGCGATAGGCTGTCTTAAGAGGAGCAAACACGGCAACATCGCAAGGCTAGAGCTTGTGAGAGGTATAGGATGGGAGGCGATATAAAATGATGTTGTTTCCAAGGCAAAACTCAAGAACCTCCAGGGTTTCGTGGGTCCCGAGGCCATCACAGATCAATGCCCGAGGTCTACCGTTGGCTCGGTCCTTAGTTTCTAGATTAAAGATGCGCTTAAGCTATTCTAGGCTGATGTGCGAATCAGTATATCCAGATTTAGAGCACGCATACTGCCATCCTGAGGTTGGAAAAATAGTCTAGTTACTCCGATGGGTAGTGGCGGGCCAAATGATTATAGGATTCAGATACCTACCGTCTCCACTAATGCATTCAATGGCGGTCACAGTCGTACGCTTGACTCGTGCACCTCTATGCTTTCGCTTATTATCCTTACCAACAAGGACTTTAACAGAGTCTAGCATAGATAGCATAACTCCTGTCTCGTCCATATTATAGACATTCCCTGCCAGAATCGCTGGATCCCGTAAGACTGCGCCGATCACCTCAAACCAGTGTACACTCTTCGGATATATGTTCTTTTCGTGCCGGTTCTAGTCTAGCGCTCCAACCATCCTCGCCTAGAGTACTAGGTGACGCTCCCTAAAAGCTTTCGTCCAGTTAATGTGCGGCGGCTTTAGGGGTCGATCGGACTGAGGTCGCTGCAGCGTGAGGCGGTGAGCTAGGGAGGGTATAAACTTAATGCGGATAGGATAGCCAAAGTTTGACATCTGCAGGATGAAATTAACGAGTGCTTCCTCCTCCCACGGAGTAAGGTACTGCTGGTCTTGGGCCTTTTGCTCTAGCGATCGTCCGCCGTGAGAACGACGATGGAGTGTCGCGTGAGACCCTCCCCTGTGATCTGCGAGAGCGCGGAAAGAAAAGGGCACACCTGGAGGAACCCCTTCCGCTAATGCACGGCTTGCCTCGTCCATGCCTATCAAAGTGCCGTGGTGGGTGGTAGTGGTGGTGATAGATGGACGAGCAAGGCAGCAATCCTCAGACAGGCAGGCCGCTGCCGCGCGACAAGCCACAGTTATTTTTAGAGTCTTGCCCCAAATGGGTCTAGTCGGTGGCTCAATACCGATTGCATAACTTCGTTCTCGGATCATAAAATACGATTAGTCTGTCCCACTACAGCAAGGGCACGGAGAAACTCTCGGAACAGGGCTATAAAGCTGCTGATCGCGATGGGGCTCTGAGGATACGATCCTTATCACTATAACTTCCTTTTGTGCCTTCCGAAATATTGGTTGATTCTCTCAGGACTTGAGAATCAGGGTAGGAAAGAAGCCAGAGCTTGAAGAGCGCCAACAAAATGATCGACAGCATCAACAACATCGCAGGGATTTTGGCCACAAGTTGGCATAAGAATAAACGAATGCTATAAAACTGGCCACTGTCTGCTTAGAAAGATGCTCTTACGATAGTAAGATATTTTCAGCTCTTCTTGCAAAAGTGTCTCACAACCCTGTGTGTCTCGCTTCGCAGTGGGAGACGTTACTTACCTACTCACCTACTCACCTAACTTACCCACACCAAACCAACCTCCTCACGACCTCCGCTTCTTCAACAAACTCCGCTTCTTCGGCTCCTCCTCTTCTTCCTCAACATCAATCGTGCTCATACTCCACTTGCTAACAAGCTGCGGCCTCGGCGGCTGCTCAACACGACGATTAGGTCCGCTC